TCGGAGCGGGAGTGCGGAGTAGGTACGGACCGGGTCGGTCTCTGCTGCTGCGGGAGGAGCAGGCGCCGTCTGGGCCGCCTTAGGCGCCGCTCCGGCAACAGCGGCTTAAAGCCCGCCGGAGTTCTCCGTTCCGGCAGTGGTCAGGAGATTCCTCTCTCGACCACATTCCCCCAGTCCCTCTCTGTTTTTCTGTCTCTACAGGAAAATAATCATATAAAGCTGCTTTCAACATCTTTGTCCCTCCCCACCGAGGATGTAAATAGCAGTGGAATCTGGTGAGGAATCTCTAGAAATCTCGTCTTCTGAGATACCCATCTGAAATTTTGTGCTGGAGAGTCACAAATCCTTGAAACCACCATTGCTTTAAAAATCCAATGATATTTTGCTTGCTGTGGTGGTGGTTTGGTTTGGGATTTTTTCAGCTAGGGAGGGCAGTTGGGTCAGCGAATTCTGCGGTCTGTTACGCTGGTTTAGTTTCTACATGATCAGTCAGCATCTTAGTCTTGCTGACGAAAGATCTAGACAAATGACCTGGTTTGCACAGATGAAGAAGACCTTAAAATGATTTCTAAAACCTGAGATGCTAATTCTCTTTTAGTCCAAATAATGTAAACGTGTAAGGAAGTGCGAGTCTTTGATTACAGCAGACCTACGCACGTGAGTGAGGTTACACAGACGCTGTGTCTGGACGATCCAGAGTCTTGTTCTCTTTGGTCCGCTCCGTTGGCCTTCCACATCACTCAGTAGTCTTTGCTGGATCCCATCACCAGTTTCCATTGCTTTGTTTCAGAAAGCTCAAATGCATCCTTTTGAAGTGAGTACATTCCGAAACACAACAAAAACGTATCCCTCCTTAGGATAAAATACCTATTCCTGGTTTTAGTTTCCATCCTGTTGTAAATCAACTGATAGTGCTTAGCTGCTGGTACTTCTATATTCTTCTTTACTTCAAAACTTCAGTTGATGAAGAATGTGCAAGTGGTGCCTGAGCCGCAAATATCATGCAGCAGCTTTTGATGTACTTATTTTGTTGGAAACCTTACTGGGATGGACGCTCGAGGCAAATCAGAAGGACTTCACAAATCTGTAATGCCAAATCTGTAAAATGTATCTAAATATTCCATGCTGGTGGTGGGTTTCTTGGTCCTTTAGGTTTTGAAAATCGATTTGCAAAGCCTAGAAAGAAATATTTTTTTTAATGCAACAAATTCTGGATGTTACAGATGTCAATTATGTAATTCCTTAAGACAATACGGTATTTGAAAATACTTGTAATTTCAGTTCTTTCCCAGACTTTAAGATACAGTAGACTTAAAGCAACATCCTGTAGTTGTAAGTCAGCTGGTGCAAAAACAGTCTATGAACGTGTCTATCTAACAGATACTGTCATTATGGCGTGAATATCAAGATAACTAGATTTTATGCCTAATCTAATAAATGACTACTCTCTAGTAGAAGAATTTAAAATGGAAAACGCGGTATTTCTCCTCTGCCATATTACAAGACATAAGGCAGCAGCTTCGTGGCCACGCTGCGGCTTTGTCTTCATCTTCTGCTGTCTCTGTTGCCACATAAAGGCTTTCAGACACAGGAAAGCCAAATACATGCTTCAGACTCTTCACACACTGAGAAACGTGTCAGAGTAAGTTTCGGGGTTTGTGTTTTCCATTCTTGCCTGTTCTTTAAATAATTTGTGAATAAAGTTGTAAATGTGTAAAAAATAGTAAGCATTATGTGTAACGTTTGTAATTTGTTCGCATTCAGCCTGGTACCTGCATTCAGACTTTGAAAAAACCAGGTACTTCCCACACCAAAACATAAAGACAAAAACATACCAAAGTTAAGGAAAGACCTCAGATGGTTTGATGGGGCAGATTCTGATGGTTTGGTCAGTGAAGATGGACTACTCATGCCTAGAAATAAAAAATCAGACTGAAGCAGTTAGTCACTGTGGTAATTCCCTGAAGAGCTGGACTTGGACACGCCTGTGGGAAGACACATACTGCCACGCGCGCGGCAGCACTGGGCACGGATGCTGTTTCAGCACAAGGCAAAGTTAACTACTTTCCACGCTAGCAGAGCTTCAATGCCACAGTTCTAACGACATTATTTGCTCGTAGCAGGGAGCGAGTGTACTACTGCAGTGCAATCCTCTGGGAAAATGTTTTCTCAGAAGTGCTTTAAACGGTTTTTAGCAGTCCTGTTATCAAGATAAGCATCTTAACTTTAGATCAAAGGCAACTCGATGAGAAACTGCTTATTTATGCTCCATATAGACTGGGCAGAATCCAGGATGGGGCTGACATTCCCCACAGCACCCCTGTCCCCCATTTTTAGGTATTTGTCCCACGACACTGGTTTGAATGACCTGGAGAATTTGGTAATTGGGGTATGCTGGAGCTGTCCCCAAGGTACCCAAAGGGCATTACAGGGGCGCCACAGCACCCTTATTATACTCCTAAAACAACTGTTGCTGTCGAGGTGAGACGGCGCTCAGCTAGCCAGCGCAGCTCTGCCTTCCTGCTGCAAAGTGGGCAGGCGCGCAGCGCGTTTCACACTGACAGCTTCAGGTTCTTGGAAATTCAGTCCCACATACTTCTTTATGTACTTGCTTAAAGCCATCAGGAAGATGCACGTTAGCCTGAAAGACTTACTCTTTCTCACATTTTTCAATATTTTCAAGCTCTGTAGGGGAAAAAGAAAAAAGGCAGCTTGTTGGAAAAAAAATGTAGCAAGCAGTACATCAGCTACTATGACAAAGGGAATTCACTGGTAAATACACATGTATCGCATCTCCTAATATCGTGCCTAGACTGCAGTGCAGACTTCTGCCATTCACACTGTCTCTGCCTTTTCTCTAGCCAACCTGAATGCCTCCAGCGTGAATTATTCTGTTTTCCTCAAATGCTTTTCTGCTCAACCATAACATCCCCGAGTACAATTGCTCATGAGGATAATTAACTGGTGCCCCAACAAGAGGAGACTGGTGAGGAGCAGAGTCTGTCCTACACAGGAATTAAGACTCCACTCGAGCAACTTTTTCCAAGAGGAACTGGCACTTGGGGCGACGGAGTGCCGAGGCACAACCGTTCACACGGGTATGGCTGTCTTACTCTGGTCTGCTGCAGACAGTGCTTTGGTTCGCAGTTCTACAACAGAATATTTTCATGGGTCGTTTCCTTGCCCGAGGTACGAGTGGTCTCAAAACAGGCAATTTTCACAAAGTTTGCAGTGAGAAAGTAGCGATAGCAGTAACTAGAACAATCTCTTCTCACTCCCTCCTTTTGCAATAGCTTTTGTTTTGTCTTCTTTCTTTTACCTTGCTTCTCCTGAAGCATTTCGTAGGCTCTTTCGACCATGCTTCAGAAGCATCGTTCTCCAAGCCTGGAAGACTCACCGAATTTCTCGCAGCAGGCTGCAGACCTGAGAACACACATCAGAACATGTTCAGTGGTCATTCAAGAATCCTTTTGCTTTTTTCTAAGTGCTTTGTTGTTGCTTTTCATTTCCTCTAATGCAGCAGTTCTAGAAATTTCCAGCAGGTCCCCTAGTTGTGTTTACTTTCTTTATACCTGCTGAACTCTCCTGCAGTTAAGTCCTGAAGCAGTGCCATTGGTGATGCTTTGAACAAGTGGGCCACGATCTCCTTGGCTAGCTACAGGTTTAAGTGTAAGCATAAAATCTCAGCAACATGCCGAGAAAATAACTTATCACTTACTTGCTGCATCAGCAAGAACAAATGACTGTGGGGTTCTTTCAGGAAGTGGAGGAGGAGAGTTAGAGCGATCCTGGGCTGTCTCTAAGGAAGCAAAAATAAGAGAGTTGGTTACCTAGCTTTAGATCTCTCTCTCTTTCTCTCAGTTCACTGAGAGGTCCACAGTACTTTAACCGGCATGCGTCAGTCGTCTCAAAGGAAGCACACAACATGCAGCAAAAGATGTGACAACCCTTAGCGTGAGGAGGCTGCAAGGAACATCATCACACAAGGGTGAGGCAGGAGCTGATGAGGAAATACAGAACTACCAGTTCGTTTGGTTGCAGAACTGTCCAGTTCTGTTTAGAACTATTCAGTTGCAGAACTATTTAGCAACACAAAATTTCCATTGGACTGAGCACAGATCCTAAAGACATTTACTAAATACGGTAAAGCAGCTTCAGTAAAAAGCAGAACTTATTTCCAAAGATAGTTTATCCCAGCATTAAACTGATACCTGGTTTTGGGCTCCGAAGCTTCATGCTCTGGAAACAAAACACAAGGAAGGTATTTGAAATTCCCACAGCGAAATGTCGTTCTCGTGCGCACAAGCAAGCCGGAGAAGATGAGGAAATGATGTTCTGTGCAAACACCCTCCCACACACACCTCCACGCTCATGTAATGGAAGATAGACTTACACCTTATTGTTTCACTTTACAAAGCTATAATTCAACTACGGGATGATCAAGAGACGCCTAAATTTGGTTCAGCTCCTGCCTATTCCACAGGGCGGTGTGAACCTCAACGGACCACAAAGTTCCTGTCTTCATTATCCTTCTCTAAAAGGGAAAATATTTTTACTACCTTTTATGGGACTTAGGACCCCAAAAAATAATGTTTGAAGTAAAGTAAATGTTGATAAAGATGAGCCTGACTGAGCTCCCGGTCTTGAACCCTGAAGTAATTTATGGAAAGTACACAGTGCCAAAACTAGGGTCTTTCTCACAGAAGGAAACACGGTACGGAAATTGGCATAGTGATAGTGCTGGAGAAGAGATAAAAAGCCACTTACGTACCTTAAATGGTCTCAGTCTCACTGGGTCATTAAACACCTCTGAGTGAGACTCACCACTCCACTCCAAAGAGGTTCCGATATTTGTATTTCTGGCTGGAAGCTGAAAATCAGAAGTGGCCAGAGGGAATTGTCCTAGAAACAATTGAACAGAGGAGATGTCGTTTCCCAACGCAGGCAGCCAGAGCAGAGGCGCTGCTGGATGCTACGGCACCACACAGACACGGGGAGAGCCCTCCGAGCACGGCTCGGCCCGGCTTTGTTAAGCCCACTTACCAGATTCATCGGCCACAATAAAGGACTCGGGGGTTCGCTCGGGCAGGGGCGGAGGGTCATCATCGCTGGGCAGTGGCAGGGTGGCTAATTGGGGAGACATGGGCAGATTAGCTGCGTGGCACGACACGGGAGAACCGCAGACCTTTGCAGAGACTCCGAGAGCTGACTGCCCTTGCCCAGCCGCGCACCAGAGATGATGGTAAAACACCTCTGAACCAAAGTTAAAAATCCAAATAGTCCTCAGCACCGATTCAGCCGCCGCCAGCTGCGTGGCCCCACGGGCAGACCCCAGCAGTGTCAGCAGCGGAGTTCCCGTTGCACAGGGGAAAACGAGGAGCGCGCCCCAGCGCGGCGCCAGGCTCACCGCCGGCGGTGCCGCTGCTGCTTGGCTGCTGCTGCAGCTCCCGTCACCCTCCCGCAGTCTGCAGCCACCAGACAAGGAGCGCCGTTTTGTGACACTGATTCTGAGCAGGACAAAGCTGAGCAAATGCCAAAGCTGCAGACAATGGGAAATGTCCGACTGGGCCAGGACTGACCAGAGCTGCCTTCTTCATATGGCGGGTGATGGTTTTAGGGCTACAGATCTGGTAAAACACTAATGTTGAAGTCCTGGTTCTCTCAGCCTCAGTAGGATGTCACGACACACGACACTCTGCAGAAAGGAGTGTTTTTTGACCTGGAAACTATCTGCTCAGAGAAAACCAATTCTGGGAGCTTTCTGAGTGCTTCTTGGAGCACCTCGTTTTAAGAATTAGTCAGCACCAGTCCCTGCCTTCCTGAGAGCCCTACCGGGGTCCAGAGCGGCTGTGTGATGCGAAACCCAAAATCATGCTGTTCTAAAAATGTTGTTTATTTTCAGGGGAAAAATTTAAGGCAGGATGAAACGAGTGTGAGGATAAGACCAGTTGCTCCCTCAGCTCCTGTGGGAACGCAGTCCCGAGGAGCAGCTATGGCGCTGGATGCCGAAGGACAGCACGCGCCACTCCCTCCCGCACGCCGCAATCCCGAGCCACTGCGCCCAGCTCGTCACAGCGCTGCACCACTTACTTGGGGTGGATTTCCTCTCGTCATGCAGCGTGGGAGCGTGGTGGGACACCATCCCGGGCGGTGGGGAGCCGTCCATGGCGGGCTGCGGTGGGGCGCTCCCAGCGCGGGAAGGGAGAAGCGCGTCCTGCCCCTCCACGGAGCACTCAGCAAACAGCGGGGACACGGGGTCATCTGGGGAGAGCGAAGAGAAGTAGGGGTCTTCTGCTGAGCAGCAGTAAGGGTGAGGACACTGCCCGTGTTTCCTGCGGCTTGGGGGGTCATCCACAGCTCGGCTCAAGTGGTTCAGCTCAACGGGGGAAAATCCGTCCTGCTGCTTCACCTGAAAGCTTGAGTAGCCGGTGTTCGGCAACTGGGAATTCAACACAGGCTTTGCGTCCCCTCCATCCCATTCCCAGCCTTCTCCCCGCTGCGCCAGCGCAAAAGGGGTCGATGCAGTCCGTGTCAGGGGTGCTCTGCCACCGGGCGTCCTCCTGCCCGCTCCCTTCAGTTCCAGGCTGAGGAGCAGCTGCTCGGGGGAGATGCTGTTGAACTCCAGACTGCGGTGTTTGTGAAGAGCATCCCCAGCACCCCGCTGCTCAGCGGCCGCTGCCTTCCTGCAGTTGATGAAGTTCAATGTGCCAAAGGAGATGGCCTGTCTGATGGGCGGGATGCTGCGTCCAGAGCTGTCGCGTACTCCCGCGGCCGACCACGATGTCAGGGAGGCTTTGCTTTGTACCACCGGAGAAAGACCTTGGTGCGCATCCTTTTCCTCTGGCTCCGAGCTGCAATGAAGCACCGCGATGTGAAGTCAAAGCCATTTAGCACTGAGAAATCTGTTTGCCTCCTAACATGGCCCCACAACACAGCTCCTAAGAGCAGATCCAGGAACGCAGAGCGCCGTTCAGCCTTAAGCAAGGAGCACAGGGAAGGACTGCGCACCATGGTGCGCCATTCGAACACCATTAAGCGGGGAACAGAGGAGGCCCCTTTACACGGGTAAACTACACCCTCAGGGCGGACTATGCCAAAAAGCAAAATTATTTACAGAAAGCAGACACTGCAAACCAAAACACGCCCACAGAAATATCCCACCACCCCATGAAGCTGCCCGTGTCGGGAAGGCAGACTCAGGTGTGCTCTTCCCACAGCACGAGGCACCGGACTGGGACGTGCGGGTGAGAGATGGGACCGGTCGGGGGTACCCGCAGGGCGCACAGCTCCAGGCAGAGGGCTGAGATGAACCCGCGCTGGGCTGTCTCCAGCTGCATCACCCTTCTTTTATGCCGCCCTGTGACGTGTTGTCGGTTCGTACATGGAACATTGTGTAAGCACAACATGAAACAGACCCGAGGGCTGAAGAGGGGACAGATAATGGCATGTGGGGAAGAGGCTGAGACTCAGTCTCATCAGTGAGAAGAGAATTAGGAACAAATGTGAGAGTCAGTGGGACTCAAGGCAGGCAGCAGATCCTCCTGACAAATGAAATGCAACGTTCAAACAGAAGTGTGTCACAAAGGACACATTAAAAAATGCATCTTCCTGAAATCGTATGGGTGACTGAGAATATTAACCCAGGGGACACTCGTGCCATGGCCTTACCAGGTGAGTAGTCTCAGAGAATAAATATCTTCCACTGGAGTCAGAAGTGGCTTGGCTACAGGAGGCCTTGTTTGTACCTAGTGAAAGAAAAGGTTAGAAAACAAGAGTGAGGAGAAAGAATGCAAAGAACACAAACATGCTATTTCAGGAGCTGGAATTTGTGCCAACTACTCTTAATTGTTAATGCAGTTTGGAAATGACAAACACCAACTTGAAAACACCAAGTTGGAGCGGAAAACTGAGGACAGAACCTCCTGAGCAGCAATTCCCGTCAGCACCTGTGTGAAACGAGAGTCCAGTGAGCCGTGCAACCATCCGGCTGCTCCAAACAGCTGCAGAACGGCTCTGTCCTCAGGACGCCACAGCTCTGTCCTCAGGACGCCAGGCGGGCATTCAGCCTGGTTTCAGCTGTGACACTTCAGGACGTGACCATCCCCCAAGCCCTGCAGAGTGCTCTCGGAGGGCAGTGAGGTTTAGGCGGGCGAGAGGTTTGGCCAGGAGCTACAAAACCACATCCGGACTTGAACCGTTTTCTGCATTTTCTATCAACTGAGCCTTGCCTCTCCTTTGCTTACAGACTGTCCCCAACACACAGAAAGAGGCTCTTTCCAGCTCTTTTCTTGCTCAGCTCTGGCTTGGAACATCCTGCAAATCCTACAGCAAAACTGAGGTACGAGTCCCATCTCAGGATCCTGTTCCCAATTCTTTAGACAAGAGCTCCTGGCAAAATCAGCTAATTGTAACCTTTCAGCCTTTGCCTAAGAATGGCGATGCGTTTACTTCAGCCAGACTGCGCACAGCTATGCAGGAAAGGCAAGGTTCACGCCAGCAGTTGTGGACGAACAGCAAGAGCGAAGGAAAGCTTAACCATGGATGTCTTGGATGTTCCTGTTTACATGCAACTTCATACCAAGACTACATTGTTTTTCCTCTGAGGTGTATCAGATTTGAAAGATTTGACGTGTTTTTTCCACAAGCTATTTTAGCCTCCTCTCTCCCGCAGAGAGGCTGCAGCGCTGATTACCTCTCTGGGATACCACCCTGTTGCGCTTTCAGCCATCCCGCCTGCTGTGCCCACCTTCCCCACCTACAATGGAAGTCATGCTGTTGCTTGCAAGCTCTCCATGAAGACAAGTTTTGCTGGCACGTCCACGTGGAAATCAGCCGCAACTGTAGAAAGTTGGTGCTTTTCTAGCCACTCATTACATTAAACAATTATAAAAGTATATAGAAAATGCTTTTGAGACTCAAAGAAATTTAGCTCTTGCTTGGGGCCAAATCCTGTGATAGGCATTGCACGTTCAGGGAAACAGCTGAATTCTCATGGGTTAACATGAAAAGAGGCTCAGTTTGGGCATCGGGGGTAGCAGAAAGCAGGGGGATTCATTCCATCACCAGGACCCTGTGGTGGAGCTGGCATGCCCGAGGCTGCAGGAGGCACTGTGTGTGTCCTGGGCACTTTTACCTGTGAAGCAGCAGAATCTTCCTGGGCATCGAGTGCTTTAATCTGCCTTCTGAAGAGCTCAATCACCGCATCATAAACCAGCTCATACTGCTCCTGCGTTCCAGACAGATAAAGCAGACATGAGCACCAGCACCTGCAGGACTTGCAAATGGTCACCTGTTACCCAAATCAAGCATCAGCCCCTGAGAGAAGCTACCACTTTCCGGTCCATTGGCAGGGGAAATTCTCAGAAGAGGTAGAAGCCACAACTTTCAAAGGGTTCAGACTGAAGGGTTTGGGGTTTTTTTGGGTGCACAAGTAACGCTGTTCTGCATTGGGCTTCCTCTTCAGTCTATCTCAGCTGAGAGGAGTTCCCACTTTGTTTCCTGGACAGTCCCTTGTTTCACAGCATAAGCGTTCGATAAATCAGACTGCAAGCACTAAGCTGCTCCAGCTGTCTGCAAGGAAACGGTCAGCTACCAAATTCCTTTTTGCAAAATCATTCTTCTGTTCAGAAAAGGGACCTTACAGAATGTCCACACAGCCCAGTTCCCAGCAGCACAACCGCTCTGTGTCTCCCAACTGCGAACCCCCCGGGGGAACAGCTGACGTCCCAGTACGGACAGTATACCGGTTGGCGAAATTTCCTGAACATACCTTGGTCTGCACTATGGAAGGCCTTTGCGTGCGCATTTCCTGGATCAGACTGAAAATACTGAAGTTCACTGGAACAATCTTGCAAGAAAGAGAAAAGACGAAAAATTATAGAGAAGTCTGACTCCAATCAGCTTCCAAGTTGTGACACAGTTTAGAGCAGTATTCGAAATTCAGGCCTGCTACTGGAAGAACTTCAAACAAAGGACCTGCTTAAAGTGCTATTTTTTATTATGAACCAGGTTGCCTCCTCTCTCCTGTCTTGTACTCCACAGAAAATACCCTTTTCCTAACAGCACTAGTGGCAGCTGTGAATAGCATGAAGGACAAGAGACCCCTTTCCCGGATCCGTGGGTTGAGGGATGCTGCGGTACAGAAAGCAGCCGCTCCTCCGCGTCCCAGCGACGTGCCGCAAGGCCAGGCCTTACTTCACGGGCATTGTTATTGAAGAGTCAGAGTAAAGCAAGGTGTTCATTTGGAAACGCTGGATGTCTGATGCTTAAGTGCAGAAAGACAAATAGACAGCAAAGTCGTATTGAAGACTGCAGGGCAGTGCGGAGCTGGGCTCCGTGATGTGCAGGTCCTGCCAGAGGGAGCAATGGGAGGGAGAATCTGCCCCATCGGTACAAACATCGGGGCAGTTCGCATTGGGATGGGGAGGGGAGCAATGGCAACGGACGGTGCACGGGTGATGCAGAGCCTAAAGAGAGAGAAGCGGCACAAACTGGGAATGGCATGTCAGCGGTTTGGCCAGTGCTGCTCTCCAGTCAGGCTGTGGGGACTCCCACTCACCGCTGTCATCCAAAATACATCTGCGCACAGTCAGAGGGGGCAAAGGAGAGTAAGGGCAGAGAGAAGGTGAAGGAGAGACAGAGAGATGCGGCAGTGCTGCATGCGGGAGATATTTGAAGGCGCAGACCGGGCTGACACTCACTCCGTCCTTCAGCAGCTTCTGGGTGTAGTCGATCACACAGATGACTCCTGTTCTCCCGCAGCCGGCACTGCAACGACAGCCACAGCAGGGTCGCTAGCAGAGGTCGGGGGACGGGAATGCTGTATTTTCTGACAAGGTTATTTAAAAGAGATCCACAGCCTCCCGTACCCTCCCATCCTGCACGGCGGAGGGTGCAGACCTGCACCACAGCCCCGCTGCGGCTTCATCCGCCCCCCACGGACCACCCGCCACCCCCTCCTTCTTCCCTGCCACCCCCTCCTTCCCTGCCACCCGGCCGTGCCAGCTGTCCTCAGAGGACACCTTTGCCCGAGGACTTCCTACGAGAGGAGCGTGGATGCAGGCTTGCCGGGCTCCACCCCGCTGCGGCCGCTCGGGAAGTGAGAGCGCGGGGGGCCGAGGTCCGGCAGCCCTTCCGGGGCAGTTCACATTGGGATGGGGAGGGGAGCAATGGCAACGGACGGTGCACGGGTGACGCAGTCACCGGCTCACCCACCTGCAGTGGATGCAGATGGGGACGCTGTCGTCCGGCTGGTAGCGGCGAATCTCAGAGATGAGCTCCAGGATGGGGTCAATGGACGAGGGGACGTCGTGGTCCGGCCAGTTTTTATAGTGGAACTGGTGGACGGTGCGGCTCTCCTGCAAGAGAAGGGCGCTGCAGGGTCCGGGCCGGCCTGCCCCACCGAGGGGACGTCGGCACAGCAAGGGGAAGCTGTCGCACTGCGGACGTCGCCAGTTCCCGTCTGCATCGGGAGCCAAAGGCTAGAGGCGCAGCTTGCAGATGGTCTTGCTACAAAAGGAGCATTGCCCTTCGGGGGCATTTTTGATGTTACCTGTTGGCCTCACCCAGGGTCTGATTTGCCACAACTGACAAACAGCTCCAGAAACTGAGGTCTGAGTCAATTAATTTTTTACTTTCTTCATGCCTTCAGCTACTCCCAAATCTAAAATAGCAGGCTGAGCGCCATAAAATTTTCTGCACAAAGTGTGCATATTTGAATATATTATTTATATAATAAAGCTAGCTAAATGCATTTCCTGCCTTGGTCTTTCCTACTTACCTCATTCAGGGTCACCTTTAAAGTCCTAATCACATACTCATTTTTCTTCTCTTCAGCCTCCTGCAGAACAAGAAGTTAGAGTCACATTTTCTGCAGATGACGCGAGTTTCCAGCGCACGTGGTGCGACACGGTGCCCGCGGCAGCTGTACTCACGCAGGCAATGGAAAAAGGACCACACTGCAGGGGAGAGACGCCCACCTCTGCCCAGTACCGCTCACACTTCTTCTGTTGCGAGAAGCAGGACACGTCTGGTTATTCACCACCAGCCCACCCGCACTGTCTCCGCTCTCACTCGCCAGACAAACTCGGCTCTTGCTGCCGCCCAGCTCCAGCCTCCCCTTCCCTGGAGCCCGCGGTGCTGGTTCCCCCTCCCAAAGAGTCCAGCTACACTGCTGGGAACGGTTTAAGCATCTGTAGCTGGAGACTCGGGAGACATCCCGTGTCAAACAGAAACTCACTGTCGCTAATGAGATTTAATAAAAATCCGCCTCTCTCCACCCTGCCCTGGCACTGCCACAGCAGAGGCCACCTCTGACATGTTACTCACCTTTCCCATTTCGAACTCCATACAAGCCATGACCACAACCTGCAGAGAGAAGGTTCATTAGAAAAGCCTGAACACGGGTTTCTCATCCGGGCAGCAAAATCACTTGCGGGTATTTATCAGCAATGAGGAAGGTCTGTGGGCTGCCTTCCCCAGAGTCCCGGGCTGCCAGGCAAATCAAACTGGGGACATCATCCACAGCCTGGGCACGAGGACCTTTCCCACTCAGAATGCAGAGGCAGCCGTGAGCTGAATCCTGTCTCAGCATGAGTGTGGAGAAGGCTCACGGGAAGGATGCGGGGCACACACAACATGTGGAGTAAAACCCTGACACTCCCACTGTCTGATTAGTCAAAAAGGACTTTTGGCTGGCTGTATGGAAAACTTTTTTTTTTTTTTTTAAGGTATATAAATCTGCACCTTACCAGCACTTCGTACTCCCAAATCATCCTCCAAAAGTCAATGACAGTAGTGGGGAGAGGACCTTGGGTTGCAATGTATGCTCTTGGCCCATAGACGCCCTAAAACAGCATTCAAATCAGACATGGAGACATCTTTGCATAGTTCATCAGCAGAAATAAAGTCATCCCTCTTTCTCAATCTTAATTCTACTCAATGAGACCACTCAAGATTTAGAAGGGCTTTTATATAGTTAAATTTTAGGCCCTTATATTAAATTAAGCGACCAGAAACCAATGGTGTGCAAACCCTCCAAAGGCAGATGCGAGCCAGGGAGCTGGGCTTGAGGTGAGATCTGCTCCCAGAGACTACCAGTGCGTTTGAGAGCCTGGAGGTGATGTTGCAACAGCTGATCCAGCTCTGCAGCGTGCAGCTTGGCACATCGGCGGCTGTTGGCCAAAGAACAAACCGCGATCCCCTTGTGAAGGTCTGTTCTTCTGCAGACAGGTTACACAGAGCCCTCAGCCATCGTGGTGGGGAATGAAGGAAACCTTCCGACCTATCTATCAGAGAAGGGTTGTGAGCACAGAGAAGTTCCAAAACACGTGGAGCTCCTGGGGGAGAACCGTCCTGCGCTGACCTGCCCTGTGCTCGCCGCTGCAGTGGGTCTCAGCTGTGCTGCCGTGCAGGGCTTCCTGCCTGTGCACTGGTTCCAGGTAAGGCGATTCTGGCCACAGGCAGTTTTGCATCACTGTCACCCACCAAAGGCAGTGACGGCGACGAGGAAGTCGGGCTGTGAGCCACAAACTGTTCCACCGCTCGCCCCGACGTGAGCACACGCCTGTTGCCCTCCAGCCGGGTGCCCGTGTGCTGCACGGGCTGTTTGTGAGGGACTCACTGATTGTACACGTTTTCTTTACATCGATTTGCCTCAAGCACAGCCCAGAAACTACTGCATAGTCCTTTCACTCACCACAGACACAGGACCCGCTCCTGCTGGCACAACTCAACCAGGCAGCACTAACAGCTGCTACAAACACCTCTGCACGGGAGAACACCATGAGAGAAGCAATACCTTGATGAAGTTGGCATTGATGTAATGAGAATCTGCATCCGATGTGATCAGGGATAACTCCACTCTGCTGTGGTCAACTGCGGGCACAAAAGCAGAAGCAGCAGCAGTTACTGTTTGTCTTTCATGGTGGTTGAGTCCCTCGGACTGCAGCACAAGGTGCTTTGGAGAAGCACATACATCAGAGAGCTCATCCCAGAACAGATGAGTGGCCGCGCAAGCCGCCTCCTGCACCCACTGACAGCCCTGCGCGGAGCTGCCGTTGCCTGCGCGCAGGCGGAGACTGGCAAACCCTCTTTCGGGGTGGTGGTGAGGGCTTAGGCAAGACCTGCAGATGCTGCCGCTGCCCCAGCACAACACCAGTCTCCTCTGCCCATGCAGCAAGCCAAGCCTAGAATCACCTGCACTCCGTCTTACAGGCTGGGATGAGGTGTGTGGGTTTAGATCGATTATTTTTCAAGCTGGAATGGATGAAAGGGACGGTCTGCTCTGATCCTAGGACAGACTTTTCTTTGCAGACTACTGCACCAAGCCAGGACAAGCCACAACGGTTTTTAACAGTAGTCCGCCCTGTACGTCATGGAGACATCTTTGTCCAAAGCCATTCTCGACAAGGCCTCGCTCGTGTTGCAATACTACCCAGAAAGCTTGCGAGGACAACCATCAGAGGATGTGCTTCCTAATGAACAGAAGTTCTGCTGTCTGTAGAAAATACACACCAAAGTCTTCCAGAGCATGCAGTGCAACAGTCAAAGATGAAGCCCTAACTCTGACCAGCAGAATTCAGGCCCAACTGACAGTGATATGCCCACACGTGAGCAACTGCACGGGCAGATGCTGGAGGGAGAGGACAGACTCAAACTAGCACAAAAAAAGGGCTGAATAGGAACATTTGCCATTTCCAACCTACAGGGTAAGATGTCCTTGTATCTGTTCTTCTTGATGTTCTCTGGTTGCTCAGATGCTGCTGTAGGGTAGATTTTATCCGATCTGTACTTTGTTGACTGCCTTTTCAGCTTCTGTGATAAAAGAATGGAACAAATTACAGCAGACACGCTACATACAACACAGTACTAGAGAGTGCTCGTGAAGGTCTCTAGGGGTCAGGTTCACTACCGCAAAGCAAGGTCTGCACCATTAATTCTTTCCTGAGTGGCTTCTCTGAAGGTACTCAGAGCAAGAAGAGAGACAGAAGCCACCTGAGAGCCCCAGCACAGGCTTCTGAAGAATGGAAAGTGTGTGCTGAGGCAGTGCCCACATGGGGCACGGGCACACGGGCTGCTGAAGTGGAATGGTGCGTTTATGCAGCAGATAAAGCATCGCCCTCACAAATAAGTGAGACACAGGGGAACCATTCTCAGTGTAAATGGCACCCAGATAAGAGGAGTAAAAATGTTAAATGACCTGTAAAAAATTATATCAGAAAAGACAAATGAATCAATTGTTTTTTCTCACTTCGGTAAAGACACTCCCATCTGCAGCTGCAAACAGCAGCACTCAAGCAACTGAAGGAGCACAAGCAATTGGAGCAAAGTAGCTACATGCACTGATGAAAGAAAAAGGAGAAGGAGTCCTAGGATAGACCCTCAGGGTATGGATCTCTCATCTCTTTCATTTCCAGGGTAAAGCCGCAGCACTCCTGGAGAGTTCAAGCATTTTTTTCCTGCCAAACCATAGCATTTTATTTCACTGTCATCAGCTTCTAAGCAACACATGATGTTTGTTACCATCAACATTGAAAGCGCTGTTCTTGCTGTATTTTTTCTTTCATAAGTTTTTGTCTACCTAACCACCAAAGGGTGCTTTTGATTTAAAAGAAAAGGCCATTTCTCTAACCAGTGTCTGTATGGTTTGACACTCTGAAGGGCAAGTCTCCCTTTCCCACCACCCTTCTCCTGGACATCACTGCTGCGGTCCAGGGAATCGGGCTGACAGAGGAGGACACTCAGGATCATAGGCCTTTACAGGAGGGTGTGCAGGGGTGAGACGCAAAGGGAAGGGACCACGGGCACAGCTGAGATGCAAGGCGGGAGGGTTTCTCGTGCCTCGTGTGCACCTCATGGTGACCCACCTGCGTCTCTGAAGTGGGAACGGTGTCTCAGTCACTCACAGTGTGGGGAAAAACAGCTCACTGGTCTCGGGGTCGCCAAAGCAAAACAACGTGGTGGCCAAGGGGTCGGCGTGGAGGAGGTGGCAGTCCCTCCTCCCGGTACCGGCAAAGCCCTCCCCAGCGCGCCCGAGGGTTCAGGGGCTGCAGCTCTGGCATGACAGCATGTGAGTGGGAATCGCAGGAGTCCTGACGGTTTCAGGGTGCCGATTTTTGGGTGCTCACCATAAATTTCTTCAAGGGTCGGGTCACCACTGACCTTCCCATGGGAGCTCATAAGCCTCTGCATTTACACTCTCCCAAAAGCTCCTGTCCAGTTTTGAGAGTCCCGTCCCCTGTCCTTCCTCACTGCAGACCCAATGTACCGGCAGCTGCGAGAGCTGCGAAACCCCTGGACTCCAGCCCACTCCAGCGCCCGCCGGGACGGACGCGACACCCTTCAGTGCCTGTGGGCATCAGGCTACTCAGCGATGTTTGCCAAATGGCCGCGGCAGGAGCTGGAGGGTTTGCAGCTCATACGTATTTGATCGAGCCAAGCAGCCCCTCAGCAATACCGTGGATAAACAGTACATGCAGCAACGTGGATCTCATCTCCGCAGTAGTTCTGTGCACAAATATTCAAATTCAGATCCAAGTCAGAGCTGCTGTTTTTTAACACTAAACTGCAATTTTTAAACCCTAAATTCTGCTGCTCTCCAGACACAACACCACAGGAGTCGCATCTCACCAACCTGGATGGAATGAGTGAGGGAGAAGGTATGGGAGGCCCAGCACAATCCGCAATTAATCAAGAACACGGGGGCAGGCAGAGTGTGATAGGGGCTGTGGGAGCAGGACGGGCTTTGTAGACTGCACATCTCTGTCACCCCCTGAGCTCTTCTGGTGCTGGTTGTGTTCTCCCCCTGCCCGTCCCAGGGTGACCCCATCTTACAGGGAAAGCGTTTGTGGAAGGGGCATCACTCAGTACCGGAGCCAGACTTCTCATAGCTGAGGCTCTGAATCACCTTACTTTTCTGTCCCTGTGTAAACTGACATAAAACTGGGAAATGGCTGCATGTGAGAAAGCAAGCGAGAGCAGTAAGGATCACACTCTGGCTGTGAGACTGCACAAAAGGGAAAAGGGGGCTCAAACAAAAAAGCCCCATCATTTACAGTAACACCACCACAATTTGCATGTACAAATGCTTGTTCACACAAAGAGAGGGGAGGCATTAGGGTAGAGAAATAGTATTGAACATTTCTACCAAGTTTGGAAATGCACGCCATCGCAACTGCCCGTTAAGGCTTCTGCACTTGCCACAGTGGCCGACGACCCGGGCCACCCTGGGAGGACCTCTTCCCGGTGCAGGAGGAAACGCGGCCCTGACCACTTCTACCTGCCGTTTTGGTCAGAAAATTAACTGCATTTGGCTGCCAGAGCTCATGCAGGCACCGGGGCTCCGCAGCCCTGCTGCCTCGCGTAGCACCGTGCAGCTCCAGCGCAGCAGCGAGAGGGGAAATTCAGCAGCCTGTGCGAGCACTTTGTTCCGTGGAACAACAGACCGTCACTGCAGGCTCCGATTAATCACTTCCCTCCAACCCAGAGGCCTGGAAACCGAGCACTAAGCTTTTCCCAACTGTTTGAAGTTCCCGTCCTCACTGGTATGACAACGCAGGGCTGGATCTCGTGGGCACTCCTAAGCAACCCCTACACCTTCCCCGGAGACCGCTGCCTGACATGACCCCTATCTGGAGGGGCAGCTCGGGGCCAGTGGTCATTCTGGTGTTTGAGACTCCTCAGATCTCACAGATGTACCAGTTTTACCCTTCCCTCTGCCCGCTTAAGCTGGACAATGCCTTTGCTTCCCAGAGCAGCCCAGACAGCATTCCCCTAGCTGATCGATCGGCAGCCGTCACCAGCCACCAGTGCGACCGTGGATTGCCACCCGAGACTCACCCCCACCACCCAAATGAACAAAAAGACGCCAGAGCGCTCACAGATCGGGGCACTGCGCAGATCGCAAGCAGACAGACACAACGCAGGGCAAGGTGAGAGCCATCAGCGTTTTCTGCTAGTTTTGCCTTTAGGGAACAAGAAGTTGATTGCCCACCGGGGCCAGAAGCACCGCTGGACATAGAGCACACGCACTCGTTGCGAAAGGACACGCGAGCCCTTCCACGTCGCAGCACCGGAGGAACGGCCCGTGCAGCTCTCAGATGGCCGTCCCCTCACGCCTGGATGAGGAGCCCGGAGCCGGTGGGGTGGAACAGTCTGGGGTGCACAGACAGTGTACCTGCGCACCCGCCCCCCCCTCCGCGGGCAGCACGAGGCAGCGCGGGGGCTTCCTTTGAAATGAGAAAAGGAAAAGCTGCCTCAAGTAGCAACCAGAGACCCCCGACGGGAACCCGCGTGTCACTGACAGAACAGATTGCAGTGGGGAGTGGGGCAGCGGCTCCACATTCCTCACTGTTCCCCCGTCTCTATCCCCAGGCGAAGCGAAACTGCGTCTTGACAAGTGCATTCGCAACGCAGAAAACAGGAAGCTCTCGGGTAGTTGTTTAAAAAGCAGACAGTTTTACTTTGAAAGCAAACTATTAAATTACTCTTCTGCCTTTACATTTCCTTCACCCCAGTTAACTCCTGTGTCTATTTCTGCTGTAAAATTAATAGAAAATCTTATTGTCACATGCAGATCGCATCCCCGTTTGAGGAGAAGTGACTGAGCAGTTCCCTTTAAAATCAACCAAGACACAGAGCCATGCCTTAAGCGAACTTACCAAAAACTCGCCTACAAACTCTTCTCGGTTGAGTTTCTTGCCTCGGGCCCTTTCCAGGTTTTGCAGCAGAATCTCCCTTTGGTCCATGTTGCCGGAGACTGAGCGTGACTGTCCTGCCGAACCTGGGAACGGACATGTCAAGTGTGTGCCGCAGCGGAAAGCACCAGCCCGGAGAGCGCTCGCAGCAGGCTGTGGTTTACTGACTTCATCACAGCCCTTAAAGGAAATTAGTACGTAGCAGATATCACGGTCAAATAACAAAACAAAACACACAACCTGGGCCCCTAGCGCCTCCTTTTAAATCCACACGCACTTCGCTGGGCAGCGCTGGCCGGGCAGGAGCTGAGCTGCCCCGGTCCCTCGGGCGCCGCGTCCCTCCAGCGGGCGCAGCAGCTCCCCGTGCACCGTGCCGGGAGGGCCGTCAGGAACTGCAGACCGGGGCTGAGCACCCCAACATCTGACTTCTTCAAGCACCGTGTGTGGCCATCGCCAGCAGCGGCACTGCCGGGGCGGAGGGCAGCAGCCGAGCGCCCATGACCAGTGCTGTGCTTCACTGCCGGGGGAGGCTTCAGACTCGGAATGTGCTGCGCCCCTAAAACTGTGCAAAATCCACAGTTCCCCTTCACATGTATAACTTAGCCTGTTTTCCGCATTACCTGCAAAATATTCTGAAGGAATAGTTCAGGCAGATGCTGAGCACCTGAACCCGCCTGGCACACGTTACTCCCTCGAACTGCACAACCTCTCCTGAACAGAGAAGACCCATCAACGTGCTTCAGGTCAACTCTTCCAGCCACAACTCCCCACGTCTGGTAGCTTATGCCAGGAGAGAGGGTCAAATCTGCCTCCAGTAGACTACAGAAATACAATTATGCTGGCCCAACTCACCTCACCCACTCTCAGTGACTCTTAGAGGCACTCAAAATCCCATCGGGCACAGTGGAGGTCATTCCGAAGTGGGAAGGAGATGCATCGAGCAAAGTTCTCTAAGGCCACCCATTTTCTTTTCTCACAGAAATGGGGAAAACTAAACTAAACAAAACTAAACTAAAACAAACAACCCTCCAAACCCTCCAAACCAAAAACGTATGGGAATCACAACCACAATCTTTCCAGTATCTCACATTTTGCACAAAGACCTCAGACTGGCTGTACCAATTCCGTTTCTCTTTCCAAATATAACTAGAGTCATTAAATGTATTCCCCCTGCTGTGTTTTCTTGCAGATGAGGTACAGAATAGCTCCAAGATTTCTGTATCCAGCTGCTAAAAGGCAAAGGTCTGCTGATACTCTGAAAGAGCCCTCATGCTTAGTTTAAAATAATGAAAAATTTTAATTTTGCAAAAATAAGACTTTGAATCGCCTGAGAGGAACAGAGGGATCTTTGGAATAACTAATGGAAATGTGGTTTAAAACAAGTATTCACCTGATGAGTCTGTGGCACTAAGCACTAACCTAGACACCTTGAATAAGAGTGAAGCCCACTTTTATGGCTAAATTTAAGAGAAACACAAGAAGAAAAATGGATTAATAGGAATAAACATTTATTAATTTTTGCTTTTAGTGATACAGAATCTCTTTTACATGTTCCTTATGCATAGATTTCTTGCAGTCTCCTGAAGAAATACAACAGCATTTCTCCTGGTTAAATTGATGTAAATCCCATCTTCACCTTCTGGTGAGCAGTATAGCCCTCTCTCTCAATTGTCCAAGTTCTCCTGAAAAGAAAACAGAAAAAAACCATGTGTATATGTTTTAGAAAAAGAATTCAAAGCAGGTTTAAAG